AGCTCTTGTTCTGCAGAGGAAAGAAAATACTTTGTCTTCTTGGTCTGACATGTTCCACTAAATGGTCTCTATCTATTAACACTAAGTACTTCAGAAATTAAAAGTAAGAACTCTAAAACTGTTTGATTTGAATTTGTTTAGGAGTAATAATGCATGGCATATTACAAAGGAATGGGTTTTTATGAGAAGCAATTATTTTCAAAAACGTTGTGGCTGAGAAGTTGCACTGGGTTACATTTTTTGAAACTCTTTCCTATCTGGCTCACTAAAGCAGCTGGACTCCCATAGCTGCTTCTGCTCGTGGTTCTGATGCTGCATAGAACCTCTGGAAAATTCCACTTGATGCTCCTAAGAGTTGAGAGTGAGCACAGGAAGTCACATCTTAGTATTCTTATGAGAGTGTTCCAATCTTACAAGTGCCACACTGAGAACTGGTACCCTGAGGAGGCTCCTGTGTCGCCTGTTTTGCTCTCTCTCTTAAAGGGCAGCGGCTGGTGAAGGACAGGATAACTGCACTTTGTCCAAACAGAATCCTCCCAAATAGTCCATAGAATCCAAACTCCTCCTAGCACAAGACTCAGACAATGGACACTGGCTATTCTCAGGGACCAGCCAGGCCTGACAGTCAGCAACAGCATCAATGCAAAGCCAAGGAGTTTTGACAGAGAAGAAACTTGGGATGCACTGCTGAGTTAGAGGGGAGCTGGCATCACTTCAATGCTGTAAAAATTAAGATTTCATATTGCAATTTTAAATTTGCGTAATTCAGGTTCTTCACAGCAAAGAAGGCTGTGACTAATAATGGTGGTGAGGAGCCAGGAGGGGGCTGGCAGGAAGACAGGCGACTCCTTGAAGTCCAGCAGGTCTCTGGCTCATCTCTGCCCTGATGGCTCCTTGAAGGCCAGCAGGTCTCTGGCTCATCTCTGCTTTATGGAGAAGAGACATGCCAGAAAAGGGAACTGAATCTTTGCTCTCTGGAATCTTCACATTAGAAGGGACTATTTTTCTTTCTCTAGTTGCGGGTTGGGATGGTGAACTGAAGCTCTAACTGAGACTTGGCACTCTTAGGATGTCACAAAGGTCCTTTCCACCAGGAAAGGAGCACAGGGGTCCCACTGCCTCCAATTTCCATGAGGTGGTCTGAGTTTGAGGGGAGGACATGAGGGGGAGCGAGCCAAGTGCACCTCCGCAGCGGGGGAGTCAGTGGCCCAAGAGATCCAATGCCAGAAGTACCAGCTGCTCGTTAGCACTTTCTTATTAAGAACTGACAGTCTCTCTGCTCCTGGGCAGCCATCATGGCAAGATCATTTCTCCTCGGTGTTCAACTCCATCATGCTTAAATGCTATTTCACGCTACCCTCTGTAAGCACAGACAGGCGTCTACATCTGGTAGAAGGAGGCCCGCCTCTGTTGGCAGGAGTTGGACATTTTTGTAAGTAAATGAAGGCTGTATTACGAAGGCATGGGGCAGGGGAGGCGAGGCACCTTACACCCTAATTTTTCTAGAAGGACATGCCCTTTCCTCCTGTAGGGTCTGTTTGGACACTCTGAGTTTCTGTGTATTTTAGTTCCAAATGCAGGTGTGTGGGAAACACGCAAAGTAGCCCTTGAAGTCAGAGTCCTTGCTGGACTCATTTTCTTCCTCTTTAAATTGAACTGAAATTCTTGAGAAAAGTGTAGATTCACCTGGAGTTGTAAGAAATAATGCAGCGAGATCGCCGGCACCCTTTTCTGAATTTTCCCCAATGGTAATGTCTTGTAAAAGTATAGTGTGATATCACAATTCGGACTTTCTTAGAAGATCAGAGGCCATTGACACTTCCCTGACCCCAGAAGGGAGATGCCAAACAACAGAGCTAGTCGCTTGTCCTCAGGTGTGAAGTCCCCAGGGACCAGGAATGCTCCAGGGCTCCCTGGCTGGAAGGGTCCATGTTGTTCTGAATGGGGGCACCTCTGGACTGCAGAGACACAATGGGGCTCTTCCTCTGGTCACTGTGTCCCCTCATCCTTCTGCTGCACCTGCTCACCGATGCCACACTGTGGAAAACGGATCTCTGGACTTGATTCCCTACTCCTCCCTGACCCGATGCCTGGCCTTGCAATCACTTCTTGGGCTGCAGTTCTCCACAGTAGCTTAGGTAGCTCTGTGTTAATCAGCGTTCCACGTGATAACAAGCACCTGAGACAGTCTGCAAGAGGAAAGGCTTCTAGAGGCTCACGTTTGGGGGGTTTCATTCTGTGATTGGTTGGCCCCATTGTTCTGAGCCTGTGGTGAGGCCACACATCTTGGCAAGAATAAGCAAAACAAAACTGCTCATCTCATGGCCAGGGAGTCAAAGAGAGAAAGGGGCTGGGGTCCCACCACTCCCTTCAAGGGCATGTCCCCAGTGGCCTGGACACCTCCCTCCTGGCACCCTCTTTTAAAGGTCCCCCCAAGAGCACCACACTGCAGATGAAGCCTTTACAAACCGGGCCTTGGAAACATTCAAACATCCAAAGTATAAGAAACACCACGTATCAGTCACTGTTCTGGGAACTCTGTGCAGTAGCTCTTTTAACGCTGGCAGTTGTTATAACTTCATGCTGTTTTGCTAATGAAGGGACTGAGGCACAGAGAGTGAATCCATGTGCCTGAAGTCACCAGCTAGCGAACCACAGGATTGGGATTGGAACCCAGATAGAGCCCATTGCAAGTCTACAGACTTAACCACTGGTCCACAGTGCTCCTCCTCATCTCTGAGTTGGGGTCAATATTGTGTCACTGAGTTTTCATAAAGTATTTAGCACAGTGCCTGACATAAAAAAATAACCATTAAGAAACGCTAGCCACCATTATCATTAGATCACTTCTGGAAGTTTCAGAGTGTTTGTGACCTACTGCTATGAACTATTGCTTCCACTTTGGCCATCCCACAACCCCAGGTGCCAGGCCTTCATTCAACCTTCCAACTCCTCTAAAGGAATCCCTCTTTCAAACATGAAAAACCTAAGAAGCGGTGAAGTCCTGCTGAGAGTGACAGCCAGGGTCAGTTCTTAGAACCAGCACCAAGGGAACTCTTGAGACACCAGCTTGACTTCACACCCATCAAATAGTCATTGATCGACTCTGAGAAGACTGGTGACGGGCACCCATTCCCTGCACCAATGTCACGTTGCATGTGTGGAATCAGAGTCCCCTGCACCAATGTCAAAACAGAGTATTGTTCCCACCCAGGGTTCTGACTGTGTGGGGCTGGGGTGGAGCCTCAGAATGTGCGTTTCCCATGGGACCCAGAGGCTGTTTAGAAACCACACTTTGAGAACACTAATCTAGGAAAATATTTTTTTTTTTTGTGGTGGTGATACTGGGCTTGAACTCAGGGCCTCATGCTTGCTAGGCTTGCTAAACAGGCACTGTACCACTTGAGCGACTCCGCCAACCCTTAGGAAAACTTCTTGTAATGCATCTTCGTTCCTTTTCCGTTGCTGTGCCTCAATAGTTGAGATTGGGTAATATATAAAGAAAAAGTTATTTCTTACAGTTCTAGAGTCTAGGAAGGCCACAAACATGGTGCCTGTGTCTGATGAGGGCATCAGATGGGGAGACAGGACAAGCATGCTAGCTGGGGTCTCTCTTCCTTTTATAAAGCCACTAATGCCATCATGGACCCCACCCTCATGACCTCGTCTCACCCTAATCACTTCCCAAAGTTTCTACCTCCAAACACCATGAGCAGATGGATTTGGGATTAAGTTCCCAACACATGAACTGTGAGGAGTCCATCCAGACCATGGCAGAACAGCAATGGCCAAGCCAGCTCCACCTCTATCCTTTCTGATTCTGAGCCCAGCTTCCCCAGTAAGCTCAGGGCTGGAGTATTCACATAGTGTAAAGCCATCAATGGTGTAAGCCATCGATCCTTACCAATGGGACACTGTCCCTCTCTCCAGGGGTCTTAAGATTGTGTCCTCAGCCACCCCACCCCAGCCCCATCTCCTTTCTGGGACCCCCTTTCCAACCTTTTCCAAATTAACATCTGCTATTGCCTTTCTGATTAAAAATAAACCATCTTCCTATTGCTGAAAACTCAGGAAAAAACCAAAACCAAAAAGGGGATAAGGAAGAGAATAAAAATTAGCCACCATCCCACTGCTGCTATCTTGGTGCATTTGGGTTTATTTCCTTATAGTTTTTTGTTATTTTGCAGTCTTCCCTCCATAACGGCAGGTTCTGCATCAGCAGATTCAATCAGCTACAGATTGAAAATATTTGAGGGAAAATTGCATCTTTACTGAATATGGACAGACTTTTTTCTTGTAGTTATTCTCTAAGTGATACAGCATTACTGCTATTTACATAGCATTCACGTTGAATTAGGGATTACAAGTCATCTGGTGTTGATTTAACACACGTGGGAGGATGGGAAGCTACTATGCCCCTTTATATGAGGGACTTGAGCAGATCTTGGAGTGTGACAGGGGTGTTGGAACTGGTCCTCTGTGGATACTAGGAACAACAGTATTTTTAAACATTAGGATAAAATGTATTTAAGACTTACTATCCTTAAAAAAGAGGAATATGCTGAATATGCCCTATAAAAGGGAGCTGATATTATGTTTATTATGGAATTCAAAGAGGGAACTGAGGTTTCCCAAAGACGGCTTCCTGGGTGGGATAAGCAGGGTTCTAAGCCAACAGGGCGGACACAGGCACAGAGGTGACAATCCTCATCACTCGTGGGGTAGACAGTGCCCCAGTGGTAACAGGTATGAGTCAATTGAGTGAGGACAGGTAATGGGGTGCTGTAACTGGGTAGATTTGTGTCTCTGAGGCACTAGGGAGCAATTGTCTATTCTTGAGCAGGAAATGACTTAAAGGGATATTCCTAAGGCCAATCATGAAAAGGAGGGCAGGATGGGTTGGCAGGGGAGTTTGGGAGGACAGACAAAGGTATGCAGTGGGGAGCAGCCCTGGGCTACCACCCACCTACCCCCATCCCACCCCCAGTCCTCTGTGATCAGCATGGGAGGGTCCATCTACTTCTGTGCTGCCAGGATGGACAACGACCGGTTGAGTTTCACCATGGCGATAATCAGGAGGCCGCCAGTCAGCAGGAAGGTGGGCCAGAAGAGGGAGAAGAGGAGGGCCTGGGGCCCATAGAGGCGCTGGTACAGAACACTCGTCCCATTCTCCCGTGTTGTAGAGAAGCAGTAGAAAACCTGGCGTTCGTGGAACCTGGCTCTCACCTTCTCCACATCGGCCCGAGCCATCTGGTAGTTATCCAAGCTGCCGGGGATGTAGGAGCACTGTGGGGGAACAGGCGAGAGTGCTCAGGGGTTGGAAATCAATCCTAGTCTCTTAGGGGTTGAGGAGGGGACTTTTGTCTGTGCACTGCATGGTCCTGGAGGGCACGGTGAGTGTGGTGTGTGGACGGTGGCCCTGGAGTGGCTCAGTGGCGTCCTGGCTCTGAGTCTGTGGGTTGTGAAATTAGGCAGATTTCTCACCCTTTCAGATCCTTCACACCTTCATCCCTTAAGTGGGTTAACAACATATCATTTCGAAGGATGTTACTAAAGCAGGAATGATGAGGGAGACCAGTATCATGGCAGAGTTAGGAACAAGGGGGATCTGTATTTGGATTCAGGGCCGAAGTCACATCCTCAAGTGCACACTGGGCTCATGCAGGTGACTTCTAGGAGACAGGCCAGGCAAGTAAGATAACAGGTGCCAAATGGCACTTGCCTCGTTGCTGGGAAGAGTTTCAGAAAGTGGCAGGGCCTGGCAAGGGGAGTGAGCCAGCTGCATCCACATCGTCAGTAGTCCCTGCCCACCCCCATTAGGCAGCAAACACCATGCCATCCAAGAGACAGAGTATCCAGACCACCAACTCATCAAGAGAAGTCAGAACCCTGATTCTAATATGAACTCTCACGATATAAAAATATTGGCCTGAATTCAAATTACAAACTCTTTGAAGTCTAACCCTGTGTGAGCCAAAGAAAATATGTTGGCAAGCCAAGAATTGCCACTGGGGTCCAAAGGGAAGCGAGGATGCATCCTAAAGTGCTTTGGGCAGGCAGAGCATGACACACATTCATCCTGGCACCAGTCACGGTATTAGGAACCTCTGGCCTGTTTAGATGAGGCCCAGCTGGAAAGTTCTGCAGACAGCACATGGCAGAGAGCCTCCTTCCAGCTCTGCTCTGCGTGGGAGGCCTGAGCACTGCTTGCGTGAACCTCAGGACATATTTTGCAAATGTGATCGCCCTACCCAACCTGTAGCAGAATGTGTGGAAGCCACCCATCGGCACAGCTCCTACGCCCTGAATCCTGGAGGGGGGACAGCAATGACTTCTCCCTACCTGAGAGTCACTGCCCTATGGTTAATGTGTCCAAGACCAAAAATCAGTAAGCATGAGACCGAAATGGCAAGTGTTGAGCCAGTTTCTTCCTAGGCCTCTGTTTCTCCTTGGATTTGAGTCACACACACACACACACACACACACACACACAGGCTGCCTGCTCTGGTGACATTTGCTCAGGCAATGCAACATGGCGGCTCTAATGTCTGAGAAATGGGGGAGCTGTGTTCAGACATAGGTCTCCGTCCAGCCAGGGAGCATCTGAGGCTGGGGAAAAGCTATCTCCTAACAAATTGGCCTTCAGAGCTGTTGGGCAATTCAGGGTCCTCAGTAGCATGACTTTGACCTTGAGTCATGAGCGTGGTGTAGCTATGGAGCCAGATAGGCCTGGGTTCAACTACCAGTTCTGAGTTGTGACCTTGGCCACCACTACAACTTCTCTGAGCCTCATAAAATGGGTTTGTGACAGTGCTCACCTAGAACTGCCATCTTGGGGATTAAACTAGTTGACTCGTGAAAAGTATTCAGCACAGAGCCCAGTGCACGAGAAGTCCTCAGAAAATGGAAGAAGCAGTTAGTACTGTTGACAGTATTGTCAACTCATCTATGAATGTGCAGCGATTGTTTCTTTCCCTTATAAACAGGGGATGTGGATGAGCTCTGAAGTACATCTTGTGCCCATTCTGGTGCCCCATCAGATCCTTTGCCTGCCCAGGGTTCCTCTGAATCCTTCACACTGGTCCTGTTTGACAAGACACTAGGCAGAAAATCACTGTGTAGGGCCAGGCTGAGGCCTGGGGCCTCTCACAGCTGCTCTCCCTGCCCTGGAGCAGCCAGCCCAAGTATCTGGGATCTGAAATGAGGCAGCCTCTTCCTAGAGCCCTGAGGCTTGGCAGGCCTCAGCTCAGATCTCACTGGGGAAGGGATTTGATTACAGCCCCTCCCCCAGGCTAAGGCTCAAAGGAGGACCTGGGGTAGGGAATTGGGGGAGGATGAGACAACAGCCTGGCCTGGCCTTTCCTGGGGCTCTGGAGGACACCATGCTGGCTCAGAGCACCAGCTCAGCACCCCTGGCATCTGCCATCTGCCCCCTGCATGCCCAGAACATGAAGGCCACTTGATTGTCAGCAGACAGCCTGTCCTTAGTGGTCCCGGTTCTCCTGGCTGCAGGCTCTGTGGTTCAGAACCAAGGACAGCTGGTGGCTCCAGTGCTCAAGGAAGGCTGGTCACACAGGCTTCTGACTGCTCATGAAGGGGATGAGATGGCCTCTGGCTGCTCAGGGTTGGGAGGCAGCCTAGGCTGATACCTCCCATAATTGCTTGTCCTGTCCCTGGGACAAATCAGAGGCTGCTGAATTTTAAAGAGGAGGTGGCGGGGAGGGGGTGTGAGTAGGAGATAGCTCTGGTGGGCCATGAGGTTCAAATCCCACTGGTGATGACAAAATAGACCTGACCCTGTGCTCCTACTCCTCCTCCCTGGCCCCAGCATTGTGAGATCCCTCAGCCTCCATACCCCACGCAGGCATCTTGGCTTCTCCTTGCTCCCCCGCTCCGCCCACTGCCAGCTTCAATTCATGCATCCTGCTCAGGGCCACATCTCTGTCCTGAGGTTGACTGTGGTGCGACTGTTGTCCAGTGTCTGTACCACACATGGCTAAGAGCTCTGAACCTCCCAGCACCACTCTGAGCACCACCCAGAACTCCAGTTCCTCACAGCAGCAGTGCCCAACCTTAGAATCCTCTGGGGAGCTCCATGGACTAATCTATGCCCAGGAATCCTGCCTCAATTGGTCTGCTGTGGGGTTCTGATTTTAAGTCACCCATGTGGCTTTACCCCATCCCTCTCTGGTCTCCTCTGCCCTCTTCTGTTTAGTACTACAGCCCCCATAGCAGAAAGTGCTCAATGACTGTTGAATGGACGGAGGGAAGGGAGGAAGGAAAGGAAATGAAGAGAAGGACGGAGGGAGGGAAGGAAGGAAAGAAAGAAGGGAGGGAGGAAGGAAGGAAATGAAGAGAGGGAGGGAGGGACAGGGGGAGGGAGAGAAGAAATAGCCAACTTGTCTATCCTAAAGGCTGTGACTGACAGTGATTTGGGGGAGGGCGGGATGTCGAGGGGTAGTGATAGGAAAGCCTCCTGCATGTTTGCCATCTGTGAAGGTGGCTACAGCTCTGAGTGTGGTTTCCTGTGGAGTGTGGAGTCACAGGGCTCCACTCCGTGGGCCTGACCCTGGCCCGGCCTCTCTTGGACTCTGTTTATAGAAATAACAACAGACCGCCCTCCTCTCTGAGGGCCCACCATCTACCCGACAGGCTTGGGGCATGCACACAGCACCTCTGAGTTTATCATAGCACTTGCAGGTCCCACTTCACTAGGTGGAAACTGTGGCTCACAGGGGCTCAGTGCCTGCCCCAGCTTGCACAGCCAGTCAGTGGTAAATCCAGGCCCATGTGTGTCTGATCCAACATGGAAGACCTAGGGCTGGTTGACCACAGACCCCTGTGAGCCCATGGTCAGATGGGCTCCTCTTTCTCAGCTTTTGGGACATGGGAAATTGGGGACAGCTCACAGATTGGTGGTGAGTCAGGGTAAAGGATGCCCACCCATCCCCCACTCTACCTGCCGGTTGCGGTCACGAGTGTCCTCCGTGTGGTACAGCACAGCCCATCTGCCCACAGCTGAGACATTGACCCACAGGCACGGGTACTGTGGCACCTTCTTTCCCTCCAGCTCCTCCTGGTCCCTGATGTTGGTCTCAATCAGGTGGCAGGTGGATTCCTGAGTCCACACGCTGGGGAGACCATACACATATGTGTCTTAGAGCCAGAGTGACACAGAGTTCCCCTAGGGGACTTCTCCATGATGGCTGTTGACCCTGGCAACCCATCCAAAAGCCTGGGAGCTTTGCCATGATGCTTGTGCCTAAACCACACCCAAGGTTGAAGAATCACAACTTCTTGGCGGTTGGGCTCAGGCCCTGGTAGCTTCATAAATGCTTCTTAAGGTGATTCTGACCAGCAACCAGGCCTAAGACTCTCTTTCTCGTCACCTTTGTCATGCAGTGGTGAACAGGAAGCTCAGAGAGGCCAAGGGACTTTTCTGGGCCACACAGGACTCAACCGTCTGTGCGTGGACCCAGAATCTCTGCTCTCTCCCCTAAAAGGAGCCGATGAAGGAAGGACTTGACTCTGTGCAGGTCAGGGAGATGGTGGGATGGGGTTTAATCTGCAGATAACATGCAGCCCAGGGCTGTTCTGAGCTGCACCTCACATGGGTGACAGTTCAGCCTGGCATGGCTCCAGGTTGTAAAACGTGTGGACAGCATGGGCCCAGGAGAGGCCAATGGGCTCATCAGCACATAAACCATGCATCTTGACTCAGCTACCATCTCTCCTGCTGGAGACCCATGGCCATACGAGAGGTGACCGTCAGCAGCTGGAAGGTGCCCAGAGGGAGGACGAGCAGAGGGTACTGAGTGTGTCTGCTCCAAATACAGCATGGATCAGGAATCCCACAGCTCTTTAAAAGCTGGAGGGGTTGACATGTCCGCGCACAGGGGCATGGAGCCCTCTGAGATTCCCAACAGAGGTCCAGGGGAGCGGAGGATAACTCAGTGAAGACACTTGCAACGTATCAGCAAAGGCCCACCATGCAGTGCAGTATTCAGTGATGGAGCGAGCGCCCCGTCCTAGGAGGCATTCATTCAGAGGGTGGATGCCCACCTTTGAAACCCCCCTGGGTATGCAGATGAGTGACTCCTTCCATCTGCATGTGTTACCAGGCCTGCTCTGACCCTTTGCTGGAACTCAGGCCAGCACCCTGAGCCTGTCACCACCAGTGCCCAGCCTGCCCTCGCAGCCTCCCACCCTCAAACCTGAGAACGAGGATTGACTGTCCCCACTGTCCTGCCTAGTGTGAGGGTTGGGGGACGGGTGGGCAGAAGGTGGGGGTCCTGGAGGGCCCCAGGCCCGGGGAGAGGCAGGGTAGCCAGGCAGGTCCGTACCTTCTCTGGTAGAGGGGTAGCACCGTGGTGCCCAGCATGTAGTACGTGATGACAGCGCACACCACCATGGCCACGCCCAGGCAGAGGGCTCGAGTCTCTCCCCGCTTCTGGGCCATCACCAGTTTCTTCCCCATGGCCACTAGGGGCAGCAATCATTTCTAGGGCCATAGAGGCAAAGAGAAGTGAGAGCAACCCAGGTGACAGGTAATCTGGAGAAGGAGGGGAGGTGAGAGGAGAGGGGCCCCCGTTCCTATCTATCGATGGAGCTTTGTCATCTCCAGAGGGCTTTCCTGACCCCATAGAAGCCTCCCACCAGCTCTAAGCGTATCACCACCTCCATCCTACAGAAAAAGGGCCTATGGCTCAGAGAAGTAAAGTGACTTGCCCAAGGTCACACAACATGTGACAATAATGTCCCCCAAGCTGTGTATAATCTGGGATCGGTAGATGCTGCTTTATGTGACAACTGAACAGAAGGATTCAAGATCTCCAGAGGGGGAGACAATCTTGATTTAGCATGTGGACCCTAAATGTAATAACACGGGTCCCTGTAAGCGGGAGGCAAAGTGAGAGTAGACACAGAAGAGAAGGTGATGTGACCAGGGAGACAGAGACTGGGGTGATGGGGCCGTGAGCCAGGGAGTGCTGGCAACCATCAAGCTGGAGCAGGGTAGGCAGAGAGCAAGGGACCATCCCCTATGACCCTGGAGGGGGTGCAGCCCCACAGACACGTTGGTGACCTGGACTTCCCAGAACCAACTGTGGGGCAGTGAACTTCCGTTATTTCAGGCCATCGAGTTCATTCGTGTTCATTTGTTACACAGCCACAGGAAGCTAGTACAATGAGCAGAGGGGATCCCTCGTGCACTTGGTCCTGTATGTCTACCCCAGGGCAGCCAGAGTCCCACCTTCCTCCCCCGCCAGGCCCTGACACTCCCAAGACTGAGGATCTTTTCAGAAAGGAGCACCTCACACTGGGCCACCTGCAGCCACAGCGCTCACCCCTAGTGTGACTTTCTGTGAGCTGCCAGAGCCTCCCTGTAAATGTCTGCGGTTATTTTATGTCTAAGTAACCAGAATTCATTTCCACCAAAGATGCCTGGGCCATGGGATGCTTTCTCTGTGATTCCCACTTTAGGGAATGTTTAGCCAGATCTCAGGGAGCACTAATTTACCCTGCCAGGCCCCCGATGTAGTAAACACACTTTTTACGTGCTACAGGGTGTTCAGGAGGCGGCATGAGTCCAAAGGGGTTTTTGGCAAAAAGCTCGGTTTCTGCTAGGGCTTTTCTCTAAGTATTGACCTGTTTCAAATGTCTCACACAAGGTCGCTGACCCCAGCCAGCCTGGCCCCTGTCCTCAGAAACCAAGTATGCAATCCTGTCAGAAGCTGGTTCACCTCCTCTTCTGATTCTCAGAGATGACATCCAAGGACAACATGAACTCCCTCACTTGGGACTCTGGGAGGTGGGGTCACCACCCTTTCAATGGGGACATTGCGAAAGTCACCAGTGGACAAAACTTCCCCTGAGGAAGAGAGACTCATGCTCCGTGACTGAACCCTTTTCCTTCTGCTCTGGGACGGTGGCATAGGACAGTCACACCCTTGCTGCCAGCGCCAGTTAGCAAGCCCTCCAGTTGTGCACAGGTAAAGCAGTGCAACCTCTGGGAGCTAACAAAGGCCATGACAACCAACTTCCTAGGACATCCGAAGGCACCCGGCCCCCACCGCAAGGACTGTGGTGGATAAATCATTTGAGGCCAGTGGAATTGCAGTTGATGGTTGCCTCCCCAGAAAATCAGCCCGTGCCCCAGGGGATCCCCAGCATTCCATCAGGCAGGAAGAAGGGAAGCTGATGGTGTCCATGGGGTCTGGATGGAGAAAAGCACTTCAGAGATAGCACGAGGGACTTCAGTTAGACTCCAAGAAGAACGTCCCAGTTGTGAAAGTTGCTAAGGATCTCTGGACTTTCCGGATAGAATCTTCCTATTTAGAAAGGTCACTCGAGGTCTGGGCTGGAGTGAGGGAAGAAAGATGGAGAAGAAAGGAAAGCGTGCAGGAAGTAGGGGTCCCGTGTGACCTGACAGTCGGGTTGGCACCTTCTTCCTTAGAAGGATTGGAAATAGAACTCAGAGCCTAAGGATCGAGCGGGGTGTGGGGAGCTGGGGTTCAGAGGTCATCAGACACAGGATCAGTGCTGGGACTGTAAGACCAGAGCAGCACCTGCTCGGAGAGTTCTGCAAAAGACCAGAGGGCGTCCTGCATATGGCATGGTTCTCAGAGTGGGGGGCCATCCATAAACAGAAGCTGTCATCATCAACAGTGGAAAATGGAAGTCTGGGGCAGAAGTGTGGCACACTCTTGCCAAACCTATTGTCCCCTCCCTTCATGGGTGAAAAGTGGCAGGACCAGTCCTGATGTCCTGACTGTTGCCTGCTGGCCACTCTGGAAGCTGAGGACCAGGGCACTGAGCTCCCAGAATGACCCACCACTGAGCCACCCCCCCCTCCACCAAGCTGGTCCCTAGGCCCTGAGCCCAGATGCCATCCCCTCTGGAACTCAGATTCCTGACCGGGCATCGGAGGGAGGAGTCCCGCCTCCCCCGCCTATCCCCCCTCCCCACAGGCCACTTCCCTGGCCCTCTGCCCTCCAGCCCCCATCTTCAGAGATGCCGCGTCCCCAGTGCTGGGACACAGTACTCACAGTTCCCACTGGCTGGTGGGTCTCTGGCAGACAGATGGTTTCTCTCTGCCGGGCCCCTGCCCCCTCCCCAGAGGCCTTGCAGCGCCAGCAGGAAGTTCGGCCTCCTGGCCGTCTCCAGGGAGGCAGCCTTGGTCCCATCTGGGTCGAGCCTCCATGCCCAAACATGGTCAAGTGTGAGCGTACAGCCTCAGGACACAAACTCGGCCGGAGAGCAGGTAGCAGACCTCAGATAGCAGCTGCTGCTCGGGCCTCAGCACCTGCATTTTCCAGAGTCTCACAGGAAACAGATGTCAGACAACAGACGGCACAACCCGAACCCGCAAGGGTCCATCTTGGCGTACTTGGAAATATTTCTTCTCCATTTAGTCTCTGGGCTGGGAAAGAAGACAGAAGTAGGAAACATTTTTCTTTTGTGACACAGGGAGGGCAGAGGAGATGAAGCTGAAGAGGTTGGGCCTGTCATCAACCCTGGTTATATTCACACCCAAGCAGGCAGCTCCTCCTTCCTTCATGCTGTGTGACCATGGGCAAATCTCACCTCTCTGGACCCTCCATTTTGTCCCCTGTGTTACTGGTGTTTTAAAAACTTACTCTGCTTAGAGATGGAGGGGATTTGGAGCACAGAAGAAAACCCACCTGTTAAGGAAGTTAAAAGCTGAGCTGAGATTGAGAGCAGGGAAGGCCCCATAGCTGCTGCAGCCACCAGATCCAGGGGCCACAGGGCCAGAGCCCTAGTGCACCACAGACTGGCAAAATGCAAAATGTGGTTTGAGCGCACGTGGGCAGAGATGTGTAACTCTAACAGGACAAGTGCTCTTCAGTTCTGTTGGGGAAAGCCTGCTTCTCACATCCCTCTCTCTCCTCGTCTGTAATGTGGATGTTAGAAGGATAAAAGTCAGCAACTAAAGCAAACCCAGCTCTGGATTGCACGACACATCAGGCAGGATGCTGGCGGCGCGCCTCGCTCTACCTCCCTTTGCCCCAGATCAGAGAGGCAAGCTGATACCGACGCTTTAAGCTAACTCTTCCAAAGCCACTCTGGTCGTGGGCAGAAGCCCAGTCCAAAGCTGACCCTTCCAGGCCTCAAAGCCAGGCCGTCTCTGCCCACCCAGGGGCTTCTCTGCGACATTAACGGTCACCTTCGTGGTTCTAGCCACCTGAGGTTCTAGAAGTCATCCCCAGTCACGCCTGCCGAGTGAGCACCCACTCTCTCATTCTTCCCCCAGCCCTGGTGGGCACTCTGCAACATCTGTCCTTCAGTAAGAACAGACCTCAGAACCACAGATAACTGGCCCATGGCACGGCCTGATTTCAAGCCTGTGAGCTGTGGCACAGGGTCCACCAAGCACTCTCTGGATACGCTTGTCTGGAACCAGCCACCATGAGGCAGTAAGCAGAGGCCACAGTTTCCAGCTGAGGCCTGGCTCAGGTGGACAACCATCAGTATCTCTCTCTAGGACTGGCCGAGTGGCTCAAGTGGTAGAGCGCCTGCCTACCAAGAGTGAGGCCCTGAATTCAAACCCCAGTGCTGCCAAAACAATCTGTCATCTGTCTCCAGACCTGGGAGTGAAGGAGCCTGCAGAGGGCCCCAGCCCCACCGTCCAGTCTCCTGGCTGAGCCTTAAGGGGGCATTTTGGGGCAGACACAGCAGTCATCACTGGTCTCTCTCTGAACTCCCAATCCACAAACTCCATGGGCAGAACTGATGGATGATTCGTGCCACTACAACCTGGTGACTTGTTATGCAGCCACAGTAACTGAGGCACACCGTAAGTGGCTTAAAAGGGAAGCTGTCACTGCTGGTAGCAATGGCAGCGCAGAGCCAATCAGACTAAAAAGCCTGGTGTCACTGTGTGCAGTATTGAGGGGGAGGAGAGACGTGTGGGTCACACACCACTGAACACGTGGGAGAGAAAGGTGGAAACAGACATGGGAGGGTGCAATGTGCCAGGGCAGGAGGCACACACAATGCATAAAGATGTCTGTATGCATGCACACATGTACACACATACACACAGGTATACACACACCTGTGTGCACACTCACGCACATGATTGCATGTGCATAATACATATGTGCACATGTAAACATGAGCACACACAGTGGTCCTCCCTTATCCAAGATTTCTTTTTCTTTCTTTTTTCTTTTTTTTTTTTGGTGGCACTGGGGTTTGAACTCAGAGCCTACAGGCTTGCTAAGCAGGTGCTCTACCACTTGAGCCACTCGGCTAGCCCCAAGTTTTCATTTTCTGTGCTGTTTGTTACCCATGTCCAACCATGGTCCATAAACATTCTATAGACGTCAAGAAGAATTAACCTAGAAGGTAACACCCACGCACAGGAAATCAATGCAAGTCAACTCCCTGTACAGCTATCCTTATCTCAACCAGCAAAAACCCTTGTTCCTTCCTATTATTGCTTATACTCTCTCTTCAACAAAATTAGAGATAAGGGCAAAATAGTTTCTGCCAGGTAGCGAGGGGGTGGGTGGGGGGAGGGGGGAGAATGACCCAAGCATTGTGTGCATATGTGAATTAAAAAATAAACATTCTATAGAAAATTCCAGGAATAAATAATTGATGCATCTTGAGTAACTTTCATTACAGCATGATGTGATAACTGTCATTAGTTAGCACTGTTTGCCTCTGCCGTCCTAATTTCTAAATTAAACGTTATCATAGGTCTGTGTGTGGGGACCACATGGCACAGTAGGGTTTGGCACCATCTGTGGTTTCAGGCGTCCTGTGGAGACCATAGAAAAGCGTCCCTGTAGTCAGCAGGGGTGAGCGTACACGTGTGCCTTCCTCTCAACAATCCTTGATTTCCTCAAGGTCACCCCTAGCGAGTGCTGTGATGGGACCTGGATTTGTGCCTGTGCCCACTGCTGCCACAGCCCACCCCTGCCCCTGTCACTCGGGACTGTGTGGGAACCAGCTCCGGGACAGTTTCTTCAGTGTCAGCCCAGCTGAACGCAAACCCTCCCTCCGTCTAAAACCATTTCAGACTCTGCATCCTCTTCATTATTCGAGCCCTTCGGAATCAATAGCTGGTCTCCACCGACATCTGGGGTAATAAGTCCCATAAATCAAACCGGCAGCCAGGCCTCGAGTCCTGCCGGGCGCCGGTCATGTGCTGAGTGCCACAAGGAGGGGAGGGCAGAGGGAGCCAGTCGACCGTCCTCAGTCCTGACGAAGACAGTTCACCTTGCAGAGCTCCAAACTCATCACTGCGCCGAAGCTATTGGCTCAGCCTCTTCCCTGTGGGGAAGGCAGGCTGGATTTTCAAGACTGCAAAAATGCGAGCCAGGCATGGTGGTGCACAGCTGTAATCCCACCACGTGGGAGACTGAGGCAGGAGGATAGCAAGCTCAAGGCTGCTTGGGCTGTAGCTTCATTCACAGACGGCCTCCATTATCATGTCTCAGAGTGTCAGCACTCTAAGACCAGGGACTGTAACCGCTCTAGTCACCGTAACATCTCGAGCACCCGACGAACACACTGAGATTCTTGGGGTTTTGTGGTGGTGGTGGTTTGACTGAGTTCGTCACAGGGTATTGTAATCATTTCCCCTGCAATGACACACATTTCTAAGGGAGCTCTATGGCCTCCATTATACGGCCAGCTCAAAACAGCGTTCATCAACGCTGCTTGGCTTGTATTTAGGGACAACCATGCTTGGTTACTTGTTTGGGTTCAGGGGAACTCAGCACACCTGCTTCGACCTCCATCCCCCAAACCACACCCAACGTAGATGTGGACCAACTCTAGCACGTGGACCTTCAGGGGCACCGTCAAACCTTACCCAAACTGTAGCAGCTGGCGATGTCCTAGCCCTGCTCCAGCCTGATTGGAGCCTTGGAGAGACAATGAGAGAGATAGAGAGAAACAGAGAGAGAGAGTCATAGGAGCTAGCTGTCCCATTGCTTGTGGGACTCAGAACCATGGATGGCAACAGTCATTCTCCCCACTTCTGCTTGGCTGTGGCCTTGGGCAGTGCCCTGTAGACAGGACTCCTCATCAGCACTACGGCAGCTGCACCAGAGGATGTGGCCTTGAGACACTGGCGTCAGTCCTGGCCCCTTCTGTGCCAGAGCTGCCCACGCTGGCTTTGTGAAAACCTTCACCAGGCAAGCCGCAAGCGAGCCACGTCAAACCATCAGGAGTTGCAAGTCCTCATGGCGCTGGGAGGATTTGCAACTTCACGCTGTGGAAATACACAAAACATGCAACTGGGTGTGTGGGGCCCACACAGGTATCAGTCATCCGCCCTCTGTCTGTCACTTTGGGGCAGAACCAACAGTCGGTGCAGGACAAATGAGCCCCTGGGGCCTCCCTGAAGCTCCCAGACATAACTGTGAGAGCTGAAAGCCCTGCTGGGCCCCCTCCCCCAGCAAAGCATTTTGTGTATCAACAGTCATGCAACAGTCCTTCATTTGTAGCCTCAGCCAGGTGACAGCTGAGGACACTCAAGTGAGATAAACAGAGCTTCCCTGATATTCTTGGCATAAAATGTTTGCACAGTTTTGATTATTTCCCTGCAATAAAGACCCAGACCTCCAAGCCAAAATTCTAGAGCAAAGGGTTTCTACCATTTTAAGATTGTGTTACATGTTACACACTTTCTCCCAGTGTGGTTATACAAACTTGGATACCCACAGCCGGCACGCAGAGTAGCCAGTTCCACACTTCTCCACCAGAGCAGTCAGCCTCTGTACTGTAGGCTCCGTGTCCACAAATCCAGCCAACTGCAGCCAAAAGTATTTGGGAAAAAATGTGTCTGCATTGAGCACATACAGACTTTCCTGGTCATCATTCCCTAAGTGACACAGGTGACAACCGTTTGCACAGCACTTTCCCGCATCAGGTCTGTTGATCTGGAGTCCACACAGGAGGACGTGCAAGAGGTGGTAATTTAACACCATTCTTATGAGGGTCTTGAGCATCTGCAGATTGGGGGGGGGTGGTTCTGAAGCAAATCCTCCACAGATGATGGAGGTGCCTGGACTTGACATTGCTAATTTCAGAAATTCATCTTATTGGTTTGGTGGAGGCCTTTCACACCAGTTTTCATT